AGGAGGACTGTCCTCCCCATCCTCCCATCCTGTGGGGTCTGCACTCCCTGTAAGTCAAAATGAGAGAAGGATAACCTCAGCTCTCCCTTCCAGCTGGGGTCAGCTGGAAAACACACAAGGATCCTGACAGCCCCCTGACCCATGGTGTCTCATGGGGGACAAGGCATGTGGTGTGTCAGTGTCCCCTTCCATGTCCTGGGGGGATGATAAGTCCAGCACAGATACACACACCCCGCACTGGCATCGGGGCCATGGCCACTGTCACAGCCACTTCCCACATCTCCTGGACCCTCCATGTCTGTTGTTAGGGACTCCCAGAAAAATGGGCACAAGCAGAACTGGGGTGCCTAAGGGGTCACTCCTGCACCCTGTGAGCAGCTGGGCAGTAATCAAGAAAATTTCAGGGTGGCTCTTCATTTGACAGGCAAGCTGAGCTGCAAAGTATATTTAGGAATCGCTGGCAAAGTCTGTTGAAGGAAACCATTTGGTGAATATTACCCAGGCACCAAAGGCAGCACTCAGATTAGTTAATAAAAATAGCAACATTTATCAAAAAAAGTCTCTGTATGGATGGATACAGCCAACTCAGAGAGGGATTTTGGGTGCAGGATAAAGGGAGGATAAATGAAGTGACCCTGTTGTTGAGTACAACAGAGGTTTTGTTGCCATCGTGCCTGAAGAAATATCTTGTTAAATGTCAGTCCTTCCCCTGGCCCCAGACTTGGCCATCCTTCTGGTGTCCCCACACCGAGGTTTCGCCCCAGGCTGGCCCATGGGAGTCCCTCATCCCCCGGCAGGCAGTGGGATGTGGCTGCTGGCTGGTGGCAGCTGCTGCCCTAATGAAGCTCCTTGTCCCGAAGCTTTCACCTGATCTGCCTTTGCCTGGACTGTCTGGTAACAATCCCACTGACCCATCTGGATACATCCCAGGAGAGCACTGGGTATAAATGACACGTGGTTGTAGGCTCAGCATTCAGCCTCCAACCTCCCCCCTCCCCAAAATCAGCTCCAGGCTGCTGTAGGCATTTCAAGGGCAGGAGCTGTGGCTGTACCCTGCACTCCACTTCATCCAGACCCACTTAATCCTGGTGGGGACAGTCCCCCTGGCCGTGCCGCAGAGCAGTGGCCTGGCACCGAGTGCCTTTGCTTTCCTGGCTGCTGCATCATCCCGGCAGGCTGCTGGGACATGGCACATGCCTCTCCCTCCACCTTCAACACCATTGTCCTGCCACATCCTTCACAGGCCTGCACTCCCTGCATTCCTCCCACTCCCATCCCCTGGCCAGTCCCATCCCTCCCAGCCCCATCTCTCCCTACACCTCTCTGAGCCCCATCCTTCGCTGTAAGATGTCCCGTATCCCTCTCAGCTCTATACCCTCCCCAAACTCATCTCTCCTTACATCTTCTCCAGCCTCATCCCTCCCTGCATCCTGCCCAGTCCCATCCCTTCCCTGCTCCTTGCTAGGAGGCACACAGACCCCCATGGGAGCTGCCTCTCAAGGGCTCCAAACAGCCACGATTCAATGCATTGGGTTACAAGGATGAAATATTGCTGCCGCTGTTGTCAGCGTGGAGCTTGGATGGGAACCGTGGGTATGTGTGAGCAGCAGCTCTCGTGTGCAGATGGCAGGTCCTGCCCTGGACATTGTCCTCGACCAGCCGGGGAAGGAGGAGGGGCAGGGGAGAAACGAGATCGGGGCTGGTTGCAGACAAACACCAGACTGAGCAGGGAAGCTGATATTCCCCAACACCTGCCAGTGCTGAGGCCAGCAGACTCGTGACATAGAGTCCTTGGTGGGAGCTGTGCAAGGCCGAAGGCTACCTGGGATTTTTCCAGTGGTCAGAAAACCGCTGGATCTGAGGTCACCGTTCCTGAGCCCAGGAGCAGCCAGGCTCAGCCACTTCAAGCCCCTCAAAGCTCTTGAGGTGCAATGAGTTGACAGTTCTCAAACCACATTCCCAGGGGCAACTCTCACGGCTCCAGGGTCACAAGGAGATATGGATGCTGTTGCCTAGCACAGATGAGTACCCAGCTCCCCTGGCTGTCTCCCATCCCAGATTCTCCTTCACCAAAAGCCTTCTTTCCCCTTCAGCTCCCTGTCCTGGGCGCTGCTGCCAGCCCTGGGCCCCTGACAGGCCCCCCTGCCATGGCTGGGGCAGCTCAGGCACTGCTTCACCTTGCCACGGGGCAAATCCTTCACTGGGCAGCTGAGAGGCGCCTCACAGCATCCAGCTCTCCCCCAGCTGCTTCAGCTGATTAAGGTGTATGGGCAGACGCTGCCAGCACAGGGGAGATGTGGGGGGAGATGCTGGCAGCCCCATGTGTCCCACTAGGGATGTGTCCCCTCTCTGGCTGGGCTGCTCCCAGCTTCATCCCCCCAGCCCGGGTGCTCCTGGAGACAGTAAGAGCTGCTGGTCCCAGACACCCATCCAAGGCAGGGATTAGTGAGAAAATCCCTGTCCTTCTCCAAAAACCAGTCCCGGCCACTATTTCTGTCTCTTGAGCCTTCACCAGCACCTCTTTAAGGTGATGCCCAGGAGTACATGCACACTGCAGGGCCCCACACCTGGAGCAGTAATTCTCAGCCCATAATTGATCCTCCTGGGGACCCACACCCACCCTCTATCTGACCCTTTGGGGCTGTCCCCCCCACAGGTCTCCCTGCACAATGACATAGCCCTAGCAAATATATAACCCATCCTGCCCCCACATCCCCCTGCTCACCCCATGTCGAAATAACCTCCACCAGCCCCACACCTGGACCATGGGACAGCCCTGGCTCCTGCCCCTGTGAAAAAACAAGGCCTTTTGCTCAAATCCATTACGACTGCCTTGTCTGCCAGGCTTTCAGCAGAGGGGCTTTTGCTGACGAAACACAGACCTGGCTCAGCCAGCGGGAGACACGGCCACATTGTGGGGCCGCTAATGCTAAGTGACTGCTCCTTTGTGCGGCTGGAAGCGCCGAGCCCGCGGAGAATGCATGGGAACAGCTCTGGCTTACAATGGGGTGCAGCCAGGAGCGACCTCAAAGCAAACATTGACTTAAAAATCAGTGTTAACCAGGCAGGCACGCCGGACCTCTTGGGAAATACAGCCCCCGTCAGCGCTACGGCTTTGTCGCTGGAGGCAAAGCCCCGCTGGGCTGGGACAGAGGCGGCTGGTAAAGACGGCTTTGATGGAGCCGGTGGCATCCACCCCTGGGCCTAGAGATGCTGTGTCGATGTCGCCAGCTGGCTGGGAGACTGGTGCCACTGGGTGCAGGGAGAGGCAAAAGGCATTTCATTAACCTAGAGCACCCAGCCCAGGAAAGAGGGATCAGGGAGGTCAGGTGGGGGTTTAAAGGATCCCACTGGAGAGAAAAGAGCCCAAGGGTATGCCACGATGTAGATGCCCCGGGGAAAATTTACTTAGGGTTGTGTAGATACATCCTTGGCATGTCTGTAAAGGAGACACCCCCACCCCCTGCACACACAGAGTTCATTTCCAGCAGCCCTTCCAAGCCGTGATCTCTGTGATGTCTGTAGTAAGGTCGCAGAGCTGTGCTTGGGTTTTCCAGCGCAGCGAGGTACCCCCAAGCAACCTGCGTGTTGGTGTGCAGACCGGAGCCAGGAGTGGCCCTGACCCCCACCTCCTGCAGACAGACATCCAGAGGCACAGACAGAGGGACAGAGAGCCCTCGTACCGCTGCAGCTCCCCGGCGAGAGCTCAGTTCACATCCTTGCAGATGACTGCACTGCATTTTTGTCCCCTTGGCATGGCCACTCCGCAATTGAAGACTGAGGGAAAAAATGCACCAGGACCATGTGGGATTCATGATACAAGCAGTGCGTGGCATTTCCTCATGGCTTCTGCACTGCAGTGAGGAAAGTGGGTACCCAGACTGCTCCAGACTGCAATGGTGGGCACCCAACCTGTTCCAGAGGATAAGAATGGGCACCCAACCTGCTCCAGAGGGTGGCTGGCACCCAACCTGCTCCAAAGCATGATGGTGGGCACCCAGCCTGCTTCAGAGTACATGAATGGGCACCCAACCAGCTCCAGGGTGCAATGGTGAGCACCCAACCTGCTGTAGAACACAAGAATGATCACCCAACCTGCTTCGGGGTGTAATGGGCACCCAGACTGCTCCAGAACATGACGGTGGGCACCTGACTAGAGCAGCACAGGGCTGGGTGCTGGGAAAGGAGCTATTCGGCCAGCCAGGTCTTCAGCCTCTATGCATCCACCTCAGTCTCCCACTCTGGCCTCCACAGAGGGTTTCAGAGAGCCAAGGAGGGGGTCAGCTGAAGTGAGAAGCTGGGAGGTGGATGGGGTGGACCAGGGCTATGAGCATTGCCCGCATCAGTCAGGTGCAGCCAGGCACGGGGGATACAGCGGAAGATGCACAAATACACACTGGGAATAAGGTTCCATTTCCAGGAGGGATGAGACAGCTCCAAGGGCAACTTGCCACCGGGATGACTTCTCACAGGACGCTGTGGCTTCCCCACCCCTCGCAGCCTCTAATTCAGGTGCAGCGTGTGGCTTGGAGCCGCGCTCTGCCGCACGTCCTGGGCTCAGCACTGACGCTGCTGAGCAGCATTCGTGGCCTTGTGCAACACCCAGGTCATGCAGGGTGACCTGAAAAGTCCTGTGTAGGTGTTGGGGGACATCCACAGCGCTGGCTGGAAGCCTGGCCAGGGCGGGAGCGGTGCGTGCTCTCCATCCTCAGGTTGTCTGCAACCACCCACCCCATCCACTGTGCGAAAAGGTGGAAAAGTACCGGAGCATCGGCCCAGCATCACCCTTCATACAGGTGGACAGGACATGGCAGAGGAGAGGCTGTGGGGACTCATGTGGGGACAAAAGTGGCCTTGGTGGCACAGTGCCCATGGAGGACACAGGCTGCCCCGACAAGGGCAACCGGCACGGCTGCTGTTTTGGCCACCGCCACACCACACTGCTGGCAGCGCTGGCCCACGGCAAGGGAAGCACGAGGGCATCCCAACAGCACTGCCTGGTGCTAATGTCAGGCTGGCCAGCTAATTACAGGGGGCAGAAAATTAAGCATGCAAAAGGAGTTTAAATTTTAGGTCAGCGTACGGGAGCCGGGAGGTCAGCCGTGGGGCAGGGCCTGTCCGAGAGGCAGCGTGGAGGCACCCTGCCCACCCGTGCCCGTGGCCCCGGGGGGTGCGGAGGCACGTGTGGAGGGCATCAGGGCAGCGGGCAAGCCCCCCCACCAGCGGGGAAATGCTGGGCCCGGAAAGCAGAGGACAAGGAAGCCGGGATGGGCAGGGATGGTCTTGGGGGCTGTCGGCTGCCCTGAGCTTGGCTTGGGGCTGGCGGGATCCCCGGCAGGTTCACAGTGAGTTTCTCTCTCTTTTGGGGCTAGAAAAGCCGCGCAGGGAACAAGGCAGCGGTGGCGGGGATGGGGGTGAGACAGCAGGGCGGCCCCGCGGCCGTGCTGCCCGCTCCCCCTTCGGGGTGGGTGGTCGGAGGCGCAGGAATAAGGTGCCGGTGCCCGGGTCTGCCCCTCCCGGCGGCACCGGGGAACAGAGCCGCGGAGGGCCGGGAGGAGGGGGCGCCCGAAGGCGGTAGGGAGGGGGGAAGGGGGGGGCTGGCGGAGCCCTGGCCGTGCCCCGGGGACGGCCGGTGGGATGGGGGCGAGCCGAGCAGCTGGGGGACCCCCACGCCGTGCTGAGCGGGGTGCCGGAGGGACAGCGGCACGGCCCGGGATGGGCCGGGACCGGGACCGAGACCGGGAAAGGGAACTGGAACTGGAACCTCCCGCCGGGGCCCCGGTTGCGGCGAGGCCACGCCCCTCGCCACGCCCCCCGCGTGACGGCAGCGTCCCCGCCCCCCGCCCTGCCGTTGCATCACGGGAGCGGCCCCGCCCCCCCCCCCGCAGTACCCGGATGAGGCAGAGCCGGCGCCGGCGGGCGGTGCTGCGGCTGTGGCGGGGGATGTGCCTCGGTGAGCGGCGGCGGCCGGGGGTCCCCGCGGCGGCCCCGGGGCCCGGCGGGGCGTGGCGGGAAGGGGACGCGACGCGACGCGACGTGACGCGGCTGGGGTGGTGGCAGGGGGGGCGCGCCCCTCGCGTCAGCGGGGGCTGCGGGCCCCGCACGGCTCCGCCGATTGGTTGCAAACTGACAACGGGGCAGGTCCCGCCCCCCCCCTCCCGCGCGCCGTTGGCTGGCGGCGCAGCCCCGCCGCCTCCCGTTGGCGGAAGCGGGTGCCTGTCACTGTCCGGCCCGGCTCGGCCCCGCCCGCCCGGCCGCCGCCCTGCCGGAGCCGGCTGCCCCCGCTCGGCCGCGGCACCCGGGGGGACGCGGAGCACCGGCACCCCGTCCTGCCGGGGCGCCCCGGAGCGGTGGCCTGCGGGGGGAAAAAAAACCCTTTTTTAAAAGGTATTTGTAGTTGAGCGCGAGGGAAGGAGCCGTGTCAGGCGTGGGGCTGCCGCCCCGCGGGCAGGCCCGGCGGCGGGGCGCGGCTTTGCCTTGAAAACTCCGGGGTTTGGGGAACCCGAGGTGCCCGCGGTGCTGGGGCCGCGGGGAGGGAGCGCGTTTTGTTCCGGCATCGTCGCGTCTCGCTCCTCCTCGTCCCGGGGAATGGCAGGATTTGGATGAGGCAAAGCAAAACTGCCCGAGCTGTTCCCGGCTGCTCCGCGGGCCGGGGGGACCCGCCGCCGGGCCCGGGGAGGAGGGGGGACGGGACGGGACGGGACGGGACGGGACGGGAGGGTGACGAATTGGTTTGGAGTTCAGCCCCGGAGCGGTTTCCACACGCGGAGGGGCTTTAACCGTGTGCGAGCGCAGAAAGAAGCGGCACCGTAAGTTCGGTGACTTGCCTGGCTGCTCCCTTTACCGTCGCTGTGCCGCTGGGCTTTGTCCCAAAACGTGTTGGTTTTTCCATCATCCGTCCCCAGTCACTGACAGGAAGCTAAAGGTATGATTTGCCTCCGTTCTCATAAAATACGTGGTAGATCAGATGCCTCGGGGGCATCTCCGTCAGACATTTTTCAGTAATTCCGTGAGGGGTTTTCTCAGAGGTTTTTATCACCTCCCTCTCAGCTTAGCGAGCCCTGCTGTATTTTGTATAAACATGACCAGCTGAACAGTCCCTGCCTCGTACTCCCAGTTTGAGGAGTTTGACCCGAATTGCAGCAGACCTGCCGTAAAGGATGAACACAGCTGACGCAAGAGGAAATACGTTACTGGAGTTAGACTTCAGTTAAGTGACTTCCCATTCACGCATCTCTTCCTCCCCTTCCTAGGGAGGAGAGCTGTCCTCACCCACCCACAGCCCAGCTCCATTGTTCTTGACCAGTTCGTGCTGGGAATGTTTCGTGACTCGGGGTTCCTCTGTTCCTGCTGAAACTATCTTGATTTGATCACGACTGTGAAGAGGTGGAGGGCTCTTTTGAACGCCTGAATGCCTATGGTGTTTATTGCCCTGAGAGGTGGTTAAATATGTGAAACTGCAGTAGAAGAGTTCCTTGCATACTTAAGCACTTTTTTTATTACTATTATTTTTATTTTCCCTCAGAAACAATTGCTGTACACCGCAGAGGGTGAGTGGCCTTGTCAAGGTCACCGTTTTGTTAGAGGTATTAGTAACTAAGAGGAAGGAGCTGTCCAAGGGCAGAAAAGTGGCTGGGAGCCTTTTATATTTATTTATTTATTTTAAAATGTGAAGTGTCAGCAGTGTGACTGCGGACAGGCTGGCTGATAGTGCCAGTTAACTGTGGGTGTAGGGGATGTGACAGCTGTGGGTAAATAGCGTGGTTTTTGGATTAATAGTGCTAGGTGTGCCCTGGAAGAGATTCACTGTCTTCTTTTAGACCCAGACCTGTCTGGGCTGTGTATTTATGTTGCGTATGTGGAGGCAAAGCCCAGACATTTTTCTTTTGGTTCACACATGTGAAGATTTGATCCTGCATGTCATCGGGTGTTACAGATGAAGGTATGTGTTTAGAGGCGTAGTGATTTAATTTTCTTTCCCCCTCTTTGAGGCAAAGCCTTTTTTTTTTACTGACTCTTTAGAAGTTGCAGACATGTGAGATAATTCCTCAGTTGGTGGAGAAGGAAAGAGGAGAGAAAGGAAAAGAAGAAAGTGGAGAGGAAACACAAGACTGATGTCTGTGACCTTGGTACCGCAAGGAGTCTTGTCTCTGGAGATGTGTCTGGGAGTAGACTACCAAAAAGTATGGCAACAAAGTATTATTTATTCCCTCAGTCTATTACAGTTATTTTTGAGAAATGGGGAAAGTCAGACTACAGGAAGGAAATGGTCTTTTTACAGTCCTTCTTGATGCTTGTTGACACCAGAAACATAATCAAGATAAACTATAAGGTGAATTCAAGAAAATTGTCTTTTCTCTATGCTACTGCACTCATCCATGGGCAAAGAAAGACATACCCATCAAAGCATGTTTTTCTTCATCTGACTGTGTCCCTCGAGGGCTCTTCTGTTGATACAGCTCAGTAGCAGATTGTGCTGCTTCTCTCTCCTGATCACCGTAGAGTTTGGGGATTTATTTTTAACTCTCATCTTGTTAAGTGCTTACTGAAGAGACCTGAGGACCTCTCTGATGACTGGCCTGTGACTAGCATTTGGGTAGTATTTTTCAAAACTGTTTTCCCCTCCCTGGCACCGGTAGAACTTGAGATGTAAAAGCAACAGAATTCGCTTCTGTTGAAAAAAAACCTGTGCTAAGTGCTTTTCCTTTTAAGTTTCTTGGTCACTTGTCATTCTGCAGTGTCCAGAAGCATGTTAGCTCTCTGGCCACTGCCTTTCCAGGGAATGTCGTCTCGTCTTTGGGGTGGTATTAATTGCTGAGATAATAGGGAGGCCCAAGGGACCAGTGTGCTGTCATTTGTCACAAGCTCTTTGCTGTGCACGTCATAAGCTCTCAGATAAATTAATTGCTTCTGGGTAGGATACTTTGAAGTTTTTCAAGGTTTAAAGAGAAGCCGGGCAGCTGTGAGTTGGAGAAGACGCAAGTTGGGTGGATAATCTCGAGGGGTGGGGGGGGGCTGTGCAGGCACGTGGCAGCTTGTGCCAGCTGTCAGCTTCCACTGCAGGGTCAGGATCAGTGCTGCTGGTGCTCATCGTATCTCCCCGGTTTTCCTAAGTGGTGCTTTTCCAGAGAGCAGAGACTGCGGCAGGGAGAAGCGTATCCTTTTCACAGCCTTAATTTCCTTCTGAGTTTGCTGTTTACTGCGCAGCCTTCTGCTCTGCATGGATTCACCCCTCTGGGGTTCCTGGGTATGGAACTGGGAGCAAATTGTTCTTGTGATCAGGCCCAGGTTGTTCTGGGATCTGCGCGTCTCCAGGGGCCTTCCCTTCATCTCTGCAGATACCGAACCTGCATCAGGACCACCAACCTCTTCAGATTTTCCTTTATAAGGCATTTCAGTGGTGTTACCTGGGAACAAATAGAGGTCAGATGTCTTAAACTTCCCATGTTTGTGAAAGGGATAAATGTTTTTGAATACTAAATTCTTTGGTAGTTGCATCTTGGTTTTGGAAAAGAGGCTTCTTACATCAGTACCTTTCTTCTGGTGTCAAGGCTTGCATCCCAGTGCTGGCTAACTCATCAAGGGGATTTTTACCATATTCACAAGGTGTGTGAGTCTTGGCCATGTGGTGTAAAGCGTACCTGGTTTTATTTGATTAATAAGGCTGATTCCACAAGAGGCTGTTGAGATAACAAGGCTTTACTGTATGGCATTTGGTTGTCTTAAAGGCTTTTAGTCTAACCTGGCACAAAGTTCCTGCAGGTAGGATTTGGTTATCTTCTGCCACCTATACTGTTCAAATTGGAAATGCAGGATTTATTATTGCAGCAGAGGAAGGAGTCTTGTGCTGATGTTGTCTTTCTTTTTTTCCTGAAAGCTCATGTGCTGCTGTTGTAAGAGGCCAGGAGGCATTTGTTGTGGTCACCCGAGAACATTCAGTTCAAAAATAGTGTTGCAGGAAAAGACAGAGGTTGACTTTCCAAAGCAGTGATGGATGCAGGCAGCCTTCCAAATTGCGTATGAAGATGCTTCCAGCTCCTATTTCAGGATGAGAAAAACAAGCACAAATTGATGGGTGAAATCTAATCCATGGCTTTTGTTTATTGTTTTCCATATTCTAAGTGAAAGACAATGCAAATTTGCTTTGATTTTTGGCTGGAATGCTCAGGCTCCTTTGCTTTGAATCCTGATCGGGTGTTGGAAAAAAATGCAGAGCTTCAGGGGCTTGGGGGGGTTACCTACTGGTTCTCGTGGTGTCAGGTGGTGAAGGATGGTGGAAACAAGATTTCTTCTGCTTTTCTGTCTATGAATCAGCATAAAATGGGAAGAGGAAGAAGACCTGCTTGCTGGCAGTCCTTCCTGCTCTCCATGGCAGCTCTGGCTGGTCATTCCCTGCGAGAAGGGGATGACTGTGGCAATTACGTGGCGCTTGGCAGTTTTGGGGACCCTGATAGCCAGAACAGGTTGTTATCGTGAGAACCAAAAGCCAGATGTGAGCTTGGCAGAATTTAGGTGGTTACTTGTTTAATTCCAAAAGTCAGTGGACATTTGCATTGCCCTCGGTGGTGGGGCAGCAAAGTGTAGACGGAGGAGTCCTGGCGCTATAGTTTGATGCATTTCAGTGGCCTTGCTTTGCCTCTGCTTAATCCTTCCTGTTTGGTGTCTGAAAATACTGGGCAAACAGGATTGGGAGGAAGAAAGCTGGTGGCCTACGTGCAGAAAAATGACCTGTTCATGATCATTAAATAATATTAATTCACTTTATATGGTAAATACTTATAAGCTAGCTTTAAATGGAAGAATGTGGGGTGACTAAAGTCAGGAAGAATGGTTTATCCAGCCACTTGAGATGCTGCAGGTACATCCTGGGTGAATTGCAGCTGCCTCTGAGCAGTACTCAATCATTTTGGACGTGCTTTTATAGCTCATCCTTACCGCGATGTGTCAGTGAATTGAGTTGACTTTGAGAGTGGAGAGGAGTGGATTCCTGACTGTGGGAAGGGGTGGGTAGAAGTTGAAACATCGTGTTATATTTCAAGCTTAGTGTTTTGGTCTGATATTTGATCCAAAGCCTAGCAGCAGCCTCCAGTCACATGGAGAGCCTGGGAAGCTTTCTTAAGGTACTGTGTTACACTTCAAGCTGTGTTTGTGTTTTCATGACTTAGCTGAAAGGTGACTCCATGAAGATTCTGGTTTGGCCTTGAATGCAAGATTCCTTAAGGTACCTGAAAAATACTGTCTGCATGTTAGTTTAGTTCTGCTACATGTTGGATTCAGCCTTTGGCTCTTGTAATATCCAGAGGATACTGAGCATCTCACTTGTAAGGATGCTTTTGGAGGTAGGGAGCCAGATTTGTCCTGTACAAAACACCCTGGACTTAGAGAAATTCTTAACCTACAAGTTGCATTTTTATTTTTTTTTTTTTAAGAGTGATTGCAGCATGGAAAAGCTGTTTCATTTTAACAGTGGAGAGTTACTCTGTCCTGTGGACTGTGTAAGGAGGGGGCTTGAAAGGAGCCACTGCCTTTTGAACATAGTTCTTGTTTAATAGCTGCTTCAGATCCTGGAGTTATGCCTGCGTAGCTGAGTTTTCCCAGGGTGCTGCGTGAATGCTAAGCTGTGTTGTAATGAATTCGAGTGGGCAGCAGCATAAGCCTGCTCTCATTTTCCCTGGAAGACGCTGCTGCATTGTCTTGTCTGTATCCTGAAAGCCCCAGTGTTGTTTGTCAAAGGCTTGATTCTGCAAGTGCCACGTATGCAAAGAAGCCCGTGAATAGGAAGGGCTTGCCGTGCTGGTTCTCAGCTCCTCGCATAATGCCCAGAGCCGGGACAACCAGCAACGGGCTGAAGCAAAGCAGTATTTGTTAAACTCTTGGTATTCTGTGGGTATCTGCTCTCCCACATGTGAGAAGTTTAAAATTGTCTAGTTATGTTCTGATAATGCCTAGGAGTCGCTTTCTGCCAGGCGTGTACATGTGCTTAGATAGGCCTGTGTTTCTGCACCATAAATAGAGGGAATGGGCAAAGGCTGGCAGAAGTGGAGTGATCTCCTCACGGCCACATCTGTGCCGGTGGCAGGTTTGGAAGCTGTCTGCATCTCCTAGCTCTCAGACTAGTGTTTTGGCCCTTAACCACCTTGTTTGCAGAGTGTGTATATGTGTTCTTATCTCTTTCTCTCGCCCCCCCACACCTACGAGGGAAGACAAATGATGTAACAGTGTACAAAAACTGGGATATGGGTGTTGGAGCTTAGTATTGCACGCTGGCGTTAGCATCTGGTGTAGGTGTTTGTACAGTGCAGTTAGCAGATCAAAAATCCACGCTGATAGCGTTGGGCACGATGGTAGACATGGGGTGTGGGTAATCGTGGACCATCACCTGCTTAACCAAGGCAGGCAAGGGATGAGAGACTTGGAAAAGGTCAGCTTGCTCCCGCGGGCTGGGTTTGGGAAGGAAGAGTCGCTGCCGAGGGGCCTGAAATACCACAGAGCTGAGTCTCCTCCCTCTGGTATCTAAAAGGAAAGGGTCTTCGACCAGGGGAGGCCGGGAGGGGAGAGTATCTTCTACAGCTGGTGACTGTAAGTGCCATGGGGTCCCAAGCAGCCCTGCCCGCTTCTTGGGCACACTGCTGTGTTTGCAGGGGTCCCTCGGGTGTTTGTTTCCAAGGCTGTGCCCCATGTGAGCAGGCAGGAAGGAGTCTTGGGCCCAGGCGTCCCTTATCTCGGCTGCTTCTAGGAAATGATGTAAGCAGCTTCCATTTCTCTAAACGCATCCTGAATTTTGCTGATGGGTGGCTTACTGGCTGTTTACCGTTTGAGATCAGCTCGTCTGGAGCTGTGGGACCCGACCCTGCTCTGTGCTACGCCTCATTTGATTCGGGGGAAATGTGCTTCTTGCTGATCTAAGCCTCTCAGAGTGTGCTGGTCTAGAGCCAAGTGCTTGAAAGGGGGAGGTCAGAAGGCTTTTACCGGAGGGGCTTCAGTGGGATCAGTGCAGGACTGATGTTACGGATGGCATGCAGCAGGAGCCGAGCGGTTCACCTCTTACTGGCAATCTGAATCGCGGTTCGGGAGCAGCCTGACGTGCCCGAGCCGCAGCAGATGTCTGTTCAACTTAATGCACCCGGCTGCGAAACCACGACAGTTTGGGGGGTGATTCACAGGCTCTACCTCCACTATAAACACTCTTTTGCGTAGGACTTGTGGTCTGTCCCTGTGTTGTGGTGATTAAGCAGCCTTGGTAACAGGTACAACTACTGAAGCAAGTACGCTCAAATAAATTTTTATCTGAAGAGGTACAGCAGGACTGACAGTATATATGTTGGGAGGAATCCTAATGGATCCGTAAGTTTTTCTCAGTACAGGGCAATGCAGGCAAGGAAACACCATCAGTTCTCCTGAGCAGCATGGAGACCTGATTCATGATTAACTTGGTTCTACAATAAAGCTGTAAAGTTAACACAGTGCAAGAGTTGGGGTGTTTCTGAGGTGCTTAGCACCCTCTGGATAAATTTGATCTTGTGCCCCTGGATTGTGGCAGCTGCAGCCTTGGCTGAAGGACAAATATGCCAATTCTGCCTCACTTTATTTGTGAGCTAAGTGCCAGTTTCTGAAATGAGCCGGTCTGCCCTCTGATGAAAGCATAGGATTGTTTTGTCCCACTTTGAGGTGTCTAAAATGTGGGTCACTGAGATGCAGGACATACCAGTGTGACAATTTTAGGCCTGAAGGGACAGTGTTGACTATTGATGCCTGTTAGAGTGTGAAAGTCAGGACTTCTAGGTCAGCTATTACTGATGGATGAGCTTGATGCAAGCATGGTTTAAAGCCTCTGCTTTCAACAGGGCAGAGGTTGGTTTCAGCTTATTCTTTTTTGGGTGTTAATAACAAAATTTAGGTCTTGGCTTTTGGGGAGAAATAAAGATGCCTACCCATGAAAGAGTTGTGGGATTGCCTGGGGATTGCTCAGAAATGGTACCCGGTGCGGTGCATCTCCTGGCTGTGGTCAGGATCTGTGCACTTCTCTTCGTCCTGCTGTGCTTGGCAGAACCATGACTGCTTCTTCGTCTTCGTCAGCTTTTGCGACCTGGTGTGTGTCGAGACCTCAGATGTCTTGCATCCCCCTGGACTGCATATTGCTCCATTCATGAACAGAGATATACAAAGTACGTGTTGGGTTGTATTTCTTACGCCAGCTATTAGCTGAGCAACAGTGTAAACAGCATCCAGTGGTCCAAGCAGCTGAAGAAAGAAGGTCCTCGCCCAGGGAACGTGACCCCCCCGCCTTGGTGTGGGAAGCTGGTCCTCTGAACACCTCCAGGCTGGAAGCACTGTTGTATGGTGTGACCATGTAATTTCATGGGAGAGGCTGGTCTTTCTTGTGTCGGTTTGAGCGGACACGGGGCAAAACTATGTGGATCGCTTCTGTTAACTGCATGTTTTACAGGAAAGCAGGAACTACCTAGTACTCAACACAGGAAGAGTAAATTGAATTTTAATCTCAGCAACACAGTGTGTTAGCGGTTGACCTCAGAGTGTTTGTCCTCATTCATTACGTGTCTTTGCGGCTCTAATAGGAGCTGTAGTGTGCACGGCTGTGTTGGCAACAGGAGGCAAAATGTCTTTGAGAACATTTAACGAATGAAAATGCAGACTTGTAGCTGTAAATTTTAATATCTTTACCGACTCTGGTCCTAAGTGAGCTTGCGGGATTAACTACTGTTTCAGTGGCAGGTACAAAATACAGCCAGAATACCTGGTCTCATTTCAGGCTACTGCAAGAGCATTTCCAGAAGCTGGGTAAAATTACGTTGCTTGTTGAGGCAGGCCTCTGTGCTGAATGATGCTCGTTAGGGATCATTAACATCCCGCTTGCGGGTGCCAAGTCTGGGTGCCGCTGTCAGAAAGGCCGTGGCGATGAAGCTCAGGACTTAGCAGCGGTTTCAGGAGCAGTCTGCCTGGCTATTCATCCTGTGGTCTTATGTTTGTGTCCTGCAGGTCATATTGATCATGGACAGTGAAGAAATTCCAACTTTTTCGAGTCCAAAGGAGGAAACTGCATATTGGAAAGAGCTTTCCTTGAAGTACAAACAAAGGTACTGTTGCAGATTTGCAGGCTGGATTTGGTTCTTAATGATTTGATCTATTTCTCTGCAAGGGTACACCAAGGTGGGTATTAGATATTTTAGAAAGAATCTCCACATTTCCAGCTTTAAATTGAGGTTTAATTCCAGTCTTGTGGCAGCTGAATGTTTCTTGCACGGTGTTACCATGCTGTGAGCTCCAGGCTCTGTTTCAAGCGTGTTTGAGCAAGAGCAAAACCCTTCTGCAATCAGGTGCCTCTTTGTAGAATTAAAGTGCTGCCTTAAGTAGTATCTTGACGTTTTATCATAAGAAGGTGCCTTTGGGCTTGCCTTGTATCATGACTGTTCCCTCCAGCTCCATGTAGTTGAATTATTGGTATGAAAAGTGGCTACTTTGGTGTCTGTTGCCATTTATTGAAGTGTCTTGTACGTCACAGTGCAGCCTGTACCAGTGGTTTACATCTTTGAGGAGGCACGGGGGCTTTTTGGTTACCAAAAACGACAAGAGAAGTTGTTGTCTTGAGTAATGCTGTGCTTCTTGTGGGAGTAGGGTTTGTTTGGGGTTTTTCTGGAGTGGGGGGCATTGGAGGCTTCCGGTTTGTTTTCTTTGGAAAGCTTTCCTTGCCTTCAGTATTACGTATGTGCAGCTGAGATGAAGTTGGTTAAAGAGCTCTCAAGACCAAAGAGTCCAAGGTGCGAGTTGCTTTTTTGTTTGGTTTTGGTGTTTTTGTTGGGGAGGGGAGTGGGCATGTGGAGGGGCCCGTCCACACAGAGACCTAAGCTGGTTTGGGGTGTCGGAAGGTTCTGTCTCTTGGACACCAGTGGATATGTTGCTTCCCATAACCTTGTTAGTTTTCTCTGCCGCTTGCTAAGAGCTGAGCTATTACATATGGTAAAGATGCAAATTTAATAAGCGAAGTATGTGGAGTGACTACATGTAGTATTTAATAACTTGCAGTGCTATAAAGTAGGTATGTGCTGGGTTCTTGCCTCAGTCCTCAATAACTCTGACTCAAACCTTCATGCTTTTAAAGAACCTTAAATTTCCAGGTAGTGCAGAGATCTGGAAACTGTTGTCCTGTCTTACAGTTTTTGATCAAAACCAGGTTAAATGTTTAATTCAGTGACTCTATCCTCCTAGCCTTGTGAAATCTAATGGAGTACAAAGTGGTTGTCAGACTCCCATGAATCCTGTAAATAGCTTTGATACAAGTTTGTATTCAAACTTGCATTTCATGTAGCTGTTTGTTTGATGTAAGAGAATTAATTTCCTTTTATAGCTAAGCTTAATGATATGATTTCTCTATTTCTCCATTTTTCTTTTTCCCCCTAGATGTCTATGGATGACACTTAATCACTTCAAAACTCTTGTTTTTTCAGCTTACTATTTTAAAGAGCTGTGGATTTTGTTTTAACTTGGGAGATGCTGGATTTTCAACTGATTAAATTCTCTCTTCACAGCTTCCAGGAAGCTCGTGAAGAGCTGGCTGAATTTCAGGAGGGAAGCAGAGAATTAGAAGCTGAGTTGGAGGCACAGCTAGTGCAAGCTGAGCAGAGGAATAGAGATTTGCAAGCAGATAACCAAAGACTGAAGTATGAAGTGGAAACATTAAAGGTAGGTCTTTTCTGTAATAGCATTGCCTCTTCTTACAGATATGTCTTGGATCTCATTTTATGTTGTCGGGTCTGAATATCCAAACGAAGTAAAGGACTTTCCTGTTTAAGATCCAGACTTGAGTACGGCATGTACTCCGAATAAGGCCAGCAACTTACCAGGGAAATTTCTGATGGAATTTTTCTTGTTCACATCATGAAGCTCTTGTCATAAAGTCTAAGCTCATCTGTTTGAATTCTCTAGGCTCTGCCAAGTAGTAGCTCTGTTGGTTACACAGGGAACATCAGCATAGCAACAGGGTGGATAACACAAGTATGTTTTGTCAGACACTGCATTATCATCTTCCTTTGTATACTAGCTTTTTGCTGAGAAGGTCTCCTTGGTTTTATGAGACCGTAAAGAAAGCTGAAGATGGGTGATTTGTGCACATCCTTCAGAGAGAATCTCCTGATTCATTCTTAACAGCCGTATCTATGGGGACAGGAATTGCATAAGGATCTGCATGTGCAGAAGGTGTCTTTTTATTGATGTCTTTACGTTAACAACTTCTTGCTTCTTCTAGGATCTTGGGAAAGTATAATTTTTGGTAGTCTTAGGTTATTTTAGTGAAGGCAAAGGTTGGAAATTTACCCAGTGGAAGTCAAGTTCATGGGATTACTCGTTTGCATATCCAGTCCCAGCTATATCTGTAAGGTCAGTAGTTTTTATGTTAGTGGCCTGTGTGTACCCTCAGAGCTGGTAAAAGCATATTTGGGAATGAATTCTTTCAGTCTTTTCAAGAGGAGCTTGTGGACTTGGAAGTTTCCTAACAGATTTCAGTGGCTTTCATTTTTGCTAATGGAGATGCCAGACAAGTTCTGGTAACAGTGTGGCTATTGTCAAGGGAGAGGCACTGAAGGAGGGGCTGTGCAGTTAGATTTCTCTCTGGCTTCCTAGATGTTGGAGACTTCAGAGCAACTGTCAGTGCAGGCTGTTGGGAACAGATGCTGGGGTGCATCTCTGAGCAGGCAGCTGTGTCGTGACGAGGTGCCTGTGCACAATGCAGCATTTGTAATTTTTACACTGTGCCCATTTCTGATGTTCAGAGCGTGTTCCTTCTAGCTCTCCACTTTTTGCTTTGTGATTACCAGCAATCCCACACTAGCAGACTGCAGCGAGTAGGTAACTTCCTTTGTCCCATTTCGCTTACTTGGAGAGTGTATGTGGCTGATACTTATCTCACTACTTCTTTCTTTCAGGAGAAGCTGGAGCACCAGTATGCACAAAGTTACAAGCAAGTGTCGTTGTTAGAGGATGACCTGAGCCAGACACGAGCCATTAAAGATCAGCTCCATAAGTATGTGAGGGAGCTGGAGCAGGCCAACGATGACCTGGAACGTGCAAAGAGGTGAAGGCTGCAAACCTCTTGCCTTAAAGTTTACGCTGGATCTTTTCTTTGCTACTCAGATTGATGACGTTCTTCCTTAAGAGGGAAAATAACATGCACTCAAAAAAACCCCAAGCAAACTCCAAGACGCTCGATTCTTTGAACAGTGCAGTTTTTCCTTGCAGTTCACCTCCATCAGCTGGTAGCATTATGTTACAGCAAGAAGGACGGGGCAGCAGTGTGTCTGCTGTTCCTGTGAGAAAGCAGTGCAGGTAGGCGCGGAGCAAGCCAGGCCAGAGCGCTGCTTTTGGTACTACCAGCTGGGTGACTCTTACAATATATTTGTGATCCTTGTAGCTCAAAGCCCCTTTGAAGTAAGAAACTAGTGCTTTACATAGTCCCTTTTAAAGACAACAGGCCAAAGGAGTCTCTTCTTCCCTTGCATAACAGTTTAATGACTGTAGGGAGCAAATATGTCCTGTATAAATGCATAAAATGACCAGGCTGCTGTTAGAAACACCCAATTTTGGAGTAGGTCATGCTTCCGTTTTGCTGAATGGGAATTCTGCCACTGATTCAGTGGGACCAGGAATGAGCCTCTGGCTATCTGGCAAAAAGATCTGAGAGCTGAGGCCCTGTTTCCACAAGACTCTTAGCCTCATGACTAACTTTTGACACACATGAGTTATCCCACTGAAATCATGGAACAAACTGGGTCTTAGGTAATATCCCAGTGCCCTGCTTTCGGCACCCGCTGGGCTGTTGCCTGTCCAGAGCTCTGGACAGTACAGTACTGCCTCAGCCAGTGCACCGATTCGGTACGTGGATTTGGAGCGTGGCTTGGGAAAAATGGAGATTGGTGCACTGGGTTGGCTCTTTCCCAGCTCTTTGGTACATCTCTGAGAGCCAGACGCTATCGTGTTGTTTTCATCTTATTCCCCTGCTTCTTTGGAGTTTATTAGTCCTTTCTAAGAAGCATTTCCATAGCTTTCAAATTACTAACTTGAATGTAGACCCTGCTAACATTTTTCTTCTATTATGTTTTTGAATACGCTTTTATGTCAGCTGAGCTGAAGAACCTAATATTCTGGATTTTGTTTCTAGGGCAACAATAGTTTCATTGGAAGACTTTGAACAAAGGCTGAACCAAGCTATTGAGAGAAATGCATTTTTAGAAAGTGAACTGGATGACAAGGAATCGTTGCTAGTTTCTGTACAGAGATTAAAGGATGAAGCAAGAGGTACGTCTTGCTTGATTAGTTCTGTCTCTCAGTACATTGTTGGCTTGCTAACAGAGATGTGTAGCAACCAAAGCTCATGTTTCTAGAAAGCCTCACATAATGAGACTTGAACTGGATACGTAGTATAAGCGTTAGGTATTACTAACAGTATGTTCTCTGTTCTTTGTATGGCCAGCGTAGCTAAGAGGAAAAATTTCCTCATATAGGGCAAAATTAATATCAGATTCATTCAGGATTTTTAACACAGGTGAGTACAAAAATACTGCGTTCCACGGATGGAATAGAATTGAGGAGGTGTCCTTCAAAAGTTTTCACTCGCTGTGATTGAAAGGGAGAGCATGGGAAATGACAGGGAAATACGTGACAAATGGCTAAATAACTGTCTGTAAAAATCCTGTCTCCTGTGTTCATTCTAAACCTCTTGGAAATTGCCTGGTTTATTTAAGATATTCTGGTAAAGACTCTGGTTAGACCTGTGGGATCAGAGATGTTCGGGAGAGTGTTCTGGGATATGGTCAGGAGTGGCGGATTTCTCAATGGATTTCACATTGAGGATTCTGGGGAAACTTCCTTTTTTTAATAGTTGGTGGAAACTGATATCTCTGATAGTGGAGATGATCTGCTCATAAGCATGTGCCTGCCATTAACGCAGTTTTAGAGATTAGTGGTTTTCAACTTTGTTTCCCAAGTGAAGCTTTCTAAAATAATTATTCATTTAAGGCCTAGACCTGAGTGTAAGACAACGCACTTGATAACAGACTGGGACTTTTTGTTGTTGTTCTCTTTCGTGAACCTGTGTGAACCAAGTTTGTGCCCCACACACAAGTTTGTGCCTCTATTGGAAGCACAGGGTTTTTCTGATAAATATGAAAAGGGAGATTAAGTATTTTCTGAGAAAATACATGTATTTCAATTAGGGGTTAGGGCAATACTACTGGAAAAAACAGCAAAACCTAGGGGACTGTTTTCTAGAACACTGGAATAATTGGCAAAAAAGACGTTGTGTTTCTTGGATGAGTCATTTGGAAATTTTTAGCATTTGTTAGGGTAGCAAAGCTACATGTTATTCCCCCTGACAGCAAGCAGGAACACTAGCCACTAAAAGAACTGATATGGTGTCAAACTCAAATACACATTTCTGATTGAACAGCCACAAATCCTCTTCTAAGAGCCCAAATAAATTGTCATTTCAGCTGTGCTGTTTTGCTTCAAATCAGTTCTAAATCTTTATAATTTAAAAGGTGTAATGTACAACTAATTTTGCTCTTTCACGTTATACCAGATTGAGGCAAGGAATAAGAGGTCTATGAAAAATTAATTTTCTCTACCCAAAAAGGACCAAACCCCTTGTAATGTGTTGTTTATTTGCATCTAGTCCCTTCTGAGGATTTTATAGGTTCATTGCTGAGCTGTGATGGATGCTCTTTGTAGCAAATATGTGTGGAAGTGGGAAGGGACAAGGTAGGGGTCAGCAGCAGTCTGGAGAGGAGGGGAGAATAAAACATGGGTTTCCTAATCTCCAGTCTCATTCCCTGTCATTTGGACTACCCAGCATCTCCAGTCTGCCCTTTCACTTGTTGAGGCGTCGAGAAACTGGATAGAACACTTTGACTGTCTTTGGCTAGCACAGAGTCCTGTGGATTATTATAAACTGGAAGAGTAACGTGGGGAATTTGAAACACAAGAATAGGTCATTCCTCCCTTTTCCCAACCTCTGTTTGAGCAGGAGCTGAATGTCGTTCAGCAGACAGTTGTGACCAGCTGCAGTTTCGTAACACACTTTCCATGGGACTCACACTAGAGATGGGGAAAAAACCCTGCGGCTGTCACCCACCGTGCTGGCTGAGACCACGCAGCCCTGGGGGCTGCCGCTGCTGCCAGCTGGGACTGCTGCGGTTGGGGGTCCTTGCTGCTGGAGAAAACCAGCAGCAGGCAGTTAATATTGGGTTGTTGCAAAGTGTCTCCTCCTCCCACCCAAATAAATAGAAGGAGCGTTTGTTAGAGAAATCAGTCACCAGTAGGTGTGGGGTGTTTTTTTTCAGACTTACGGCAAGAGCTAGCAGTACGGGAGAGGCAGCAAGAAGTCACCCGGAAATCGGCACCCAGCTCTCCAACTCTGGACTGTGAAAAGATGGACTCGGCTGTCCAAGCATCTCTCTCCTTGCCAGCTACGCCCGTTGGAAAAGGATCAGAAAATAGTTTTCCTTCCCCCAAAGGTATAAGTTATAGAAACTGTATCTAGTTGTTTTGGCAGCGTGTTCAGCTTGTTAACGATTTCCAACCAGGTGCTTGTTAGGGAACTTGAAGTAACTGTAGGTAGGTGTGGATCCCACATGCATTGCGTAAGGTGTGTTTAAATCCTGGGGCAGCACCAGGTGCATTTAAGGAGTATAATGAGTAAATAGCACCGAAAAGAAGGAGAGTAAAGCTGATACTGCTTTTGGAGGGGCAGGGGTTTGCACTCTGCAGTAGAGCACTGAAGACATTTGGGATTGCAGGGAAGTGCAGTGACTGATATTTCTGCTTAAATGTGGAGTAGCAGTAGTGGCTAAGGGGTGGTCAGTAGTTCTGGCAGTCTGGAGTCTCTTACCACACGTACTTTTCAGGGGTCCTGTTTGGTCTGTGAGACATCATGATGTTAGTCCAGTCCCCTTCCCCATCCGGAAAGCTCTGGACAGCCACACGGATGAATACGTTATTTTTCAAATTAGAAAGAGTGGATTCCAAAGGCAGCTCTGGCTGGATTCGATGGGTTGCAGGCAGTAGCCTTGCAGATGGAGAGTGCATGAACTTTGCCTGTAGGTCAAACGGGAAAGAGGGCAGTGGAGGAATAAAGCTTTTTCATTTTTCATGGCTAGTGATCATGTAGTCTGTGTGGTACAGTGGGGTAATGGTATGAAGAATCTGCAGCAGGGTTTTAGATTTACTTTTTTTATGTAGAAGTTAATTTATTTAAATTAAAAAAACGAAACCAAAACCAAACAAATAAAAAAAAAAACTGTGGAAGAGTGGAGCATAAAATAAAATTTGTCTGTGTTTGCAGCCATACCAAACGGATTTGGTACCAGCCCCCTTACTCCTTCAGCTAGGATATCTGCACTCAACATTGTGGGAGATCTGCTACGGAAAGTGGGGGTGAGTGCTCTGAACTGAAGTATTCCTAGCCCTGTGCTGCTGTTGCTGTGCTTTCATCCCGGTGCACAGTTACAACAAGGCCTTGGCCCATGCTGCATACATGCTGTAGTTTCCAAGTCATCCACATTGTGTTGTATTTCTATTATTTTTAAATTATCTTGATTTGTAAAGCATGTTACTAAGGTTCTGATGCTAATTGGGGGTGATAGAATTCATACTCGGCGTAAAAAGTTTCCCAAGCACTTTGGTATATGGGATTAGACACCGTCAACTACTTCTTACTTTAAATGGGCCCTGCAGGTTCCTCTGTATTGAGACCAAGATGCAGAGCTGGACGTCAGACTCTGGGTGCCTGCTGTGCACAAGTGAGGGGCCAAGATCACACTGCCAGTGTCTCCTCGTGTGGCTGGGGAGATCAGCAACAGGTGCTGAAAATAGGAAAAAAATCCAGAAACCTTTGATGAGAAAGTGAGAAATCAGGAGAAAGCCCAGTGTTCCCATCTGTAGTTGATGGGAGGTGAAATGCTTGAGCTTTTAAAGGGATTACCACTATAAGCAGGGAAGAAGTGGTTTAAACATCTGTTACGGTGGTGTTGAGGATGCCAGGCTTTCCGGTTGAATGAAGACTTGGCTTCTGAGTTCTGAGAAGCTTGTTGACATGCCTCAGTGGTTAGTGTTTTGAGTGGAAGCGTGGATAGCCTCGGGGTCTAGCCTCTGGTGCTGGCTTTTCTCTGTCTGTTGTGGTTAACACTGGGAATGGCAATAGCAGCAGTAGAGACAGTTGTTTTAGCAAAGTTTGAAATCAAGAATTACCTCGTTGCTCGCATTTGGAGCCAGCGAGCTGGTAGTTGGTTTGAAAGGGCAGCAGGACGACTCGGGGTTATGGAGTGACAGGTCTAAAATGGGATCACTGTGAGTAAGAGTCTGCAGGGGATTTAGGGAGCTTAATTGCAATCCCGTGTGATTACTCTGCAAGGACAGGAAATGCCAAATAAGCATGCTGCTTTTCCAGCCTGCTCTTAGATACACGCTCTGCCACTGATACAAAATTCCTGCTCGCACATTTGTTTAGTAACAATTATAGGATGTTCAGGATTTCTTTGGGTTTGGTTACTCATCCCAAGACTTAGATTCCCTTTCTCCTCAAGAAGTTTCCCCTCAGCTTTCTTGCTTGCAGCTGAGATGGAGTCACTTGGCACAGATCACACTGGCTCCTTCCAGCTGGTAGGTGCTTGGAGACCAAGAGAGAGGTCGTTACCTACATCTGCCTGCATAGTCAATGAGTAAGCTTACATGGATTTCTAGAAGTAGACTGTATAGTGTTCGCTTACTTGTGACAGCATGTCAATGCCTTATTAATGGAATATTTTCTCCTACATGGGACAGGACCAAACCCCAGGTTTGGGGAGAGGAGTTTGTCTCCCACGCGTGTGTTTGCAGGTGTCTGAATGCTCCCGTGTACAGGGTGGATGCAACAAAGGGTTGCAAGGACTTTGTGCTAGACCAGATGGATATTCAGGTTAAGCCTCGGTTTGTGATAGATGGCAGAAAGGGGAGGTGATGTTCTGAAGAAGCAGGATTTTGGTCTCTGTCCTGCCAAGAGTCAGAGGATGAGGCAGAGAGTGTCACCTTATAGAGAGGAAAAATATCTCACCAGGCTGGCTTGGAAGTAGTAGAAATGAGGTACTGAGCATGGAGATGTGCTTAGCTGCTGCCTTTGATTCTTCCTTCTGATGCTGTGGCTGCAGCACCCCTTGTTCTGAAGCATATCAGTTGGGCTTAAGAAACTGGCTTTATTTTGCAGGCCAAGATTAAGAAAAAAAATGCTAGCAGGCATTGTCCTGGGGTAAAAATTCAACTTTCCAGATATGCAGTCCCTCATGAAACTTGGGGATTCTGCCTTAGGCTCAGTCTTCTGATTAGTTTATGCCAGCCTGATTGCAGCTGTTGAAGTTTTGGTACTTCTACTAGGAGTTAGATTCCTTATTTTAGGTAATTAACTGAGAGTTGATGAGTTGATATGTTCTAAAATCTGAGCCTTAATGGAACTGAGTCATGCCTGGCAGTCTGCATCAGCATCTCATTGTGTGGGTTTCCTTTGTGGTTGGATGACAGAGAAAATGACAGCTTTGTTCCCATTTAGTTCAGTTTTTGCCAGAGGTGATCACACTGGGGTCCTGATCATGGTGATCTTGGGGTCATGACAAAGCCTGAATTCAAGCAGCAAAATACTTTTTCTTAATGGTATTACTTTTTTAACTTTTGTGTTTGTTTGTTGTTTTTTTTTTTTTTTTTCCCCTTTCACAGGCCTTAGAATCCAAATTAGCTGCTTGCAGAAATTTTGCAAAGGACCAGGCATCAAGGAAATCCTACATTTCAGGGAACGTTAACAGTGGCATGATGAACAGCAATGGCACAAAGTACCCTCACCCGGGGCACACTTCTTTCTTTGACAAAGGGTAAGTGAGGATATATTTTTGCCCTAAAGTGGAGTGCCTTTCAGGATCGTACTTGGGGCAAAAGTTTTTCTTGGCTTGTCTTTAGCCCACCCCAGCTTCCATCCTATAGGACGAATAATTTGTGGAGCCAGAGTCTCAAGGGGACGGGGAAGGTGACAGTGCTGATTTCTGTAAAGCAAAGAGAAAAGCAAGTGGGCTCGTCTCTTAGCTGGTAGGATGCCAGTGCCTGTTCTGTCCCTCTGCTGCCTGATCTCGTGGCAGCTGCATCTCGGGCAATAGAAAACCCGAGGCAGCAAACCTGCTAGTGAAGGGAACGTGCCCTTCGGCAGGATCTCGAGTAAGCAGTGGTGGAGTTGCCTCGGCTACTGGCGCGCCGGTGTGCGGGGAAGTACATTAACTGCAAACCTGGAGATGCCCTTGGTGAGAGCAGTGAGCACAGGCAGTGAATACTCACTTGGAGGGCGGTGCCCTGTTGCTCTACTTCCCCCTCTATTAGGGGAAAATAAAATGTCACTAACAGCGTAACTGTGGCTGAGGGGGCAGCTGGCTGTGTTGTGCGTCAGCCACGAAGCCAGAAACTGCTTTCACAGGAAAAACCACCCCGTGTGTGTCCCATGACTCACCTGTGGCCAGAGCTTCCTCTGGAATACGGGGAAGTGGTTCAACAGGAGGATTATCCCACAGTCCCTCGAGCGCAGAGCCCTGTGGTTTTACGTGGAGCCCTGAGGAGCGGGGCGAAAAGCACAGTGGTATTGTGAGCTTTGCTTGGCGTCACCAGGCAAAACAGCCTCTCTGCTCCCTGCACAGTAGCAGTCCTCCGTGCTAAACCTCAAGCCAGTGCAATTTAATGCTAATAGTCAGCACATCCTCAATCAAGAATTTATTTTAGAGAATTAAATGAGCTGTCACCAACCCGAAGAGTGCGATGCACAGAGCAGACAAGCGGAGCTTCCTACAATAATCCTCATTTGAGCTGGATCGTGTTGCTATGTGGGTAGCAGGGCACGTTGCATCTTAGAAACTGGCAGTCAGAGTTTTTCGAGCCACCACTGTTTGCTGCTTTTGGAAGGGTAGAGTTCAGAGACTTAACGAAGTCAGTGTTATATGCGAATTGGCCAGACTTCTGGGTCGTCTGTATGCTGCAAGGCTGACTGGGGCCCGTGCCTCGCCACGGCAGAGCTCACAGTCGGGCTGCTCAGGCAGTTTCAGGTGCAAGCTGTCAGGGTAGTTGCTGGGGAGAGATTATAGCTGTTCTTAGGAGACATCATGGCTATATCGAGTCGTGGTGTGAAGAATGAGCTGATTGCTGTGTGGGATGTGGGGGGGTCACTTTTAATTATCTAGATTGTCATCACACTTGTCTGGGCTGGCTGCCTCAAGTTCGGAGCAGGTTGTAGCTGAAAAAGGCTTAGAAACCCAGTCTCCTGCGAGAGAACTTCTCCAGCAGGGTTGGAGGATGGAGGTGGGCTGGAAAAGGGGGTGGAAATGACGGATGTGCTTATCTGCAAGTTGCTGGAGATCCCTGCATGGCCCTGCTGTCCCGGCCTCCTCCTCTGCCCCCCGCCCGCTGTTCACTGCGGGGTTGCTGGTGGCCCGTGGCTCTCCCCTTACATCGGCTCCTGCTCCGCCTCGCTGCCCCTGTCGAGGTCCGTGCAGGCTGGGGCTGATCACGGTGCCTGTGCTGTGTACGTGTCTGCTTGGCTGCTGTGTAAAACCCGTGTAATTCTGTCCACACGTGTAAGCTAAACCGAGCTGTTACCCACAGGAGGCCAGCCCGGTCCTGCCCGCGCGCCCCAGCCGAGCTCCCAGCCGTGCTGGGGTCCCGAGTGTGGTGTGGTGGCTGGGCACGAGGTGCCGAGTGGAGGCATGCCCTTTCTTCTCCCTTCTCCAGCCCCTGAACTCTCCTCCCTGCCCCTAATTGTTGCTGGAGCCTGAAACAGCCACGTGTGACTGTAGATCCGATCCAATCTGCAGCCGTTGCCTAAAGAACAGCCGGTGGTTGGATGGTAGGATTGCGACGGAGGTAACTCAGCCACACCCTTACAGTTCCCTTTGCTTCCCTGCCTCCACCGTTTTGTTGGTTCAAGTGTTTGCTGGGTGTCTGCCTCCCATCAAACACCTCTTTGCTTGCTGCATGGAGCTGAGCAGGCAGCTGAAGACAGGCAGGAGCTGGCATGGGGAGCATCGCCTTAGGGGGGCCCTGGAGGACTGCTGGGCTTGCACCGAAGCTTTGCTGGAGGATTGGAAGAGTCAGAACTTAACCTGCTTTTTTAAAACTCAACAGTGTCTGGTATAACATCAGTTCCCTGCAGACTTGTTGCTTCAGGAGCATGCTGTTTCTGTCCAGTTGCCAGGGCATAGCAGAACAACACCTGAGGATGTTCTCGGGTAAATACTTGTTCTCTGCTGTTGTAATTGTTCTAAATTGGTTATTAACTTCAATCCAGTTACAAAACAAAATGGCTCTGACCTTGATGGGCTCCGCAGAGGCTTGGCACTTCAGCAGCAGAGCTGAGACAGCATGTGAACCAACAGGGGCTGTTTGTTCCTTGGGGAATTAACTTCTCGTTTGCTCCTCCCCTGCTCCCCTTTCTACACTTTTGAATGTCTTAAAAAACATCAACTACTTTGACATTTCTTAGGTCATTTTTATGAATCTGTTGGGCTTTGTTTTAATAAAACAAGCTAAAGTTTGAATGTGAGAAGTGCCGTTGCTTGAACACTTCTAGCAGTCCCATGAAGCGTGTGGGTATATCTACGCAGTGGACAGTGTTACCCACAACCCTGATTCTGATACATCAGGCTGTGAAATCAGGGTGGTCGTTCTGTTCCCTAGTCCACTTGATAAAAAAGTTTCCCTGGAAAAGAGAGAGCTGTGGGTAACTCATGCAGGTGAGTAGTCCCACGTCCTGTGACGTGCTTTGCAGTGCTCCAGGCTTTTATCTGGGCCACGCACCTGCAGCGGTGGAGTGTGGTGGGAGTGCTGGTTGTTGCTGGAGTAGGACCCTTGCCTGCCCCTGCAGGGCAGTGTCATTATTCAGGGGTCAAGGAGGAGAGAGGTCTGGTGAGGTTTAGTTTAACACCTTTGCTTTGCCTCAGTTCCTGCATCCCGGATTGTGCCCAAGAATGTCTTTATTGTGTGCATAAACTGTTTCAATTTTTCTCCACTAGGCGCGAAAAGGTCATATTCCCCACCTTGGTCATGGGTAAATGAATTCATTTGCAATGATAAGCTGCATGCATTTTAACTCGGTGCTTGGAGGTGCAGAGTTGGTGGTTATGCTAACTGCATGAGGTAGTTCTCTTAGCATTACAAACTAACAGTCCATGATCAGAGCCTGAGGCTATAACCTCCCTCTTTCTCCTTACTTCTCTGGTGCTGTGCCCTGTTGCAACCGTAAGATTGAGTGCTGCTTGCTTTCTTGATCTAATTAATATTTCTTCAAATACGTGCATGTTTTTGATTGGATCGGTCACATCAGAGACACAGGGTGAAGTATCACTGCTGTTAATTTTACAAGTTAGTTTGCCCTTTGGTCGTGTTTTTCTTTCAACGGTTTGCTGGCCGTGGGCTCGCCTGCCGTGGTTCTGGCTAACGGGGAAAAAAAAAAAAAAACCAAAGGCACAGATGTGCCGGGGGCCGGCCAGGATTGCAGCTCCGGGGGAGAGGGCAGCGTGGTCTGAAGCGTGCGGGTGGGGACAGGGGAGCTGCGGCCCCACGTCACCGGCCGGGGGTGGCAGGGCCAGGCGGGGAGCCCAGCGCCTGCGCGTCCCACCTGGCCGCCTCTCCAGGGAGCGCGGAGGGTTCCCCACGCTGTCGAAAAGCGGGGCTCCCTCCCAGCCTCATCCCCACCCTCACACCTCGGTGCTGGGTGTTCTCTACCTCCTTACACTGTTACTGCTGCCTGGGAGGGCAAGCGGTGTGTTTTAAAGCGCTGACCTGCCTGAGAACTCGCTTTTCCTCTTGTTTTCTTGTGGCGATGCTCTCCAAGCATGCTTTGGCCACATCCATTTACTCTCAGACTGGGATATTCAGCTACAGGAGGATCTTCTGCTGAGTTTTTACTGGATACTTAAAGTCTTGGAGATAGCAAAGTACAAAATAGAGCCTGCAATACAGTTTAATGAGGAAGAAATCAATCTTTAGCAATCAAGGGCCAGAGAGCGGTTGGCAACGGGCACAAAGTGCGCACCACTGTAGGGACAGGGAGTCAGAAACCTCCATCAGAAACCACTGCCGGGGACATTGCCAGCAGGGCCTGGTGCTTTTGGCTCCATTTGAAGCCCCAGACCTTGGTTTCTCCAGAAGCCCAGAGCCAGGGCACAGTGTGCTGGGGGGGTTAAGCCCTGCAGGCAGCTCCGCTGGGCAGCGGCGGGTGCAGCAGCCCTGCCCCGGAATCTTCCAGCACATTTCATTTGTTCTTTTCTTACACTTGCTCTGTTTAATTTTATTTTTCTTTAGCTGCAGTAATGCTGATTTCTTCCCCTTTTTTTTTGTGCGTTGTCATGTTACCAACAGAAACACGTGGCTGGGTAAGATCTCGGTAAGCTCAGCCACAATGCCAGCTTTCGGTATCCCCCCCCCCAGTTGCTGCTACTATTTGAAGCCTTTCCCCATGCCCCACTTACTGAACTGGCTTTCAGCAAATCAAAGCTGCTGTTTTGTCTTTATTTCTGCACCGAGGGCAAGTTTGGGCCGGCAGGATGCAACGGACAGCGTGGGTAACTGACTCCAGGAGCTGATCCCGGGAGAAGCTGCCACAAACAAGCACCCTGCACTGCCTTCCTGCTTTATTTTTTTAATTAGCCCACGATGGGGGAAACCTCAAAAGGCTTCTGAATGGGGTGTCTATCTTTAACATCTTCGGCAGAAAGCCTTCTCATGTCTCCCTCGTGCACCGTGGTGCTGTGAGCACTCCACATCTCGTGCTGGTTAACGCTTGTAACAACACTTAGAGCGCTCATCCTCTTGCTGCCCCCGGCTCTGTGGTCGGGCTTGGTCTCCCTTCTTGTTTCGGGCATCACTGGGTTGTTTGTGACACAGGTGATTCAGGCAGAGTCCCGTCACGCCCGTGTGGCATCTCTGCTGAGCATCTGATGGCTTCTGGCCTTGTTCGTGTACCTCTGGAAGGTGGAAAAGGGCACCCGAGGTGCTGAACGTGCCCCCGTGCAGGAGCTGGGGCGGGTTGGGGCTGTGTTGCTCCTTTTAAGAGCAGGAGCTGCCTGCAGAGGCAGGTCTGTCGGATGGCGACAGCTCCAGGGAGGTGTTCTCCCAGCAGGCAGACCTTGGCTCTGAATTTAGTGCAGGAGATGCGAGAGATCCGCAGAGCTTGGCTTTAACGTGACTCATCAAACACCAGCACTTCCAGGCTCCTGCTGTTGAATGTCTCTATTCTCTAACCCTTTCAAAAGGGAGCAAACCACCACGTTTTAATCCTGTTTGGTTTTGGGTTTTGGTGGCTTTTCTTCTTCCCTGTCCTACTTGGCAAAGGTGCTTTCTAGCTGGTAACTAATTTGCAGAGTCACGTCAGGATCGGGTTGGCTTCATGCCCCCTCATTCAAATGTGAAAAGCGAAATACATCTGCCTCTAAGCTTCTTCCAGCAGCTTCTTACTGCGTGAAGCCAGGGAGGCACGTGCTTTTCGAAATGCATCAGAGCAACGCTCAGATGGGAGTTGAAGTTTCCAGTTTAATGGGGAGAAGGTGGGAAGGTGGTTTCTCCCTGCTCCAGCCCCTGGTGCTGGGATGTGCTTCAGGCTGGGCTAGTGTGGATGTTTAACGGCAAGAGAGGGAAAGGAAACAGCCCAGCTCTGTACGGCACTGAGCTGCGTTACCATGGGAATCTGGCCTTGCTAGCAAATCACGAGATTTTAGCTTTTCATCTGCTTGTCTGGAAGGATTTTTTAGCTGCCCCGTGCAGTGGCAGCAGCCTCCTGGGTTTGCTGGCAGGGTTTTTGCATCCCCTGATCCAGGAGGTGCGAGGTCACCGGTGGGTGTGAGCCCCACGGGATCGGTGGGCCGTGCAGCAGGGGTGGGGACAGGGCACTGCTCTGCCCCGGGGCCGCCGGCACCTTGGGCCCTTAGTGAGGGCAGGGGGCTGGGACCCCAGCGCCACCAGCTCCTGGGTTGGCTTCTTCCTCAGCGGTAGAGCCCTCACTCGTTGTTCTTCTTGCTTTTACCCACCACAGCTCCCTGATCTAAGCAGCAAAGGCTGTCTCCTGAAGTGCCCCTTCTTAAAATCGTAGCTCTGCCAGGAGAAACTCCAACGGCATCTTCTGGGGTGCTGGAGGTCGAGGCAGAGCTGGTGAAGGGCTGCAGAGGCGCTTCTTGGGGGCGGGCGGACGTCGCGGCGGGGACCTGTCCTGCCTTGCAGAGCCGTGGGGGTTCTCCCCCACCTTCAGCATCGCAAATGCAACCCGGAGGGCAGGGTGCTAGTTCTGGGGGTGGACACGCTCTCCTGCTACAGGGATGCAATTGCTTCTGGTTGTCACGTCTGTGCTGGTGGCGCTCAGCAGATGGTGAGCCCGGGCAGACGCCGCGTGTGGCGCCTAATTACAGAAGATCTGTCAAAGCTGTAAGAGAGTAGAGATGGAAAAGCTGTCAGACCCGCGTGCTCCTCTCCCAGCCCGCCAAGGAGCCAGGTTCTCCGCACCTTCACCTCTCTCAACAGCTTGGGGAAGGGGGGAACCCAGGGATCCTGGGGGGCGTGGAGGCACCCGGAGCCCCCGCTGCACCCCAGCCGGGGGCGGTGTAGCGTAGAGGCATCGCTGCTGCGCTTTAACACGTGCCTGCCTGCTCTCGCAGAGCCCGTGCGCCGTGGCCGTGGCCGTGGGTCCATCCCCAGGACCGGGCAGAGCTCGTGTAGCCACCTGTGAAGGACCTGGGGACGCGGGTGCTGCTGTCCCCAGCCCGGCTGCGCTCCCCCCGGGGCCGGGGCCGTCGCTGGGGTGGCCGTGCTGCTGCCGAGACAGGCTGTGATGAAGAGGGCCGGGGAGCTGAGGGGGGGCCAAGCCTGCAGCGCTGCTGTGCCCGGTGCCTTCAGCTGCACCGACCCAGCGGGCTCAGGGTCTGTGCAGGAGCCCCTTGTCCTTTCCCAGGCCGGTCACCTCGGCCAGCACCGGCCTGCTCGGGGCAAGGGGTTGAGGTGGGCGAGCACCGATCCTCGCGGCCAAAGGTGGGAGCCCTGGTGTGGTCATAGATTGGCCCCACTCCTGCCCCCACGGCGCAGGCACCGTACGATCAGGGTGAGGGATGCAGTGAGGAGGGAGGGGAAGGGTCTGTCTGCCAGCTGCTGGTGGTGGGGAGGGGTGAGCGGTGCCAATCTCCTGAGGCCGCTCGGCCCGTAACAACCTGTCTCTTGTTCCTTCTCAGGGCAGTAAACGGCTTTGATCAAGGTCCCCCCGGACTGGGAGCCTCTCGACCATCCTCAGCGCCCGGCATGCTCCCCCTGAGCGTATGAGCCCACGGGAGGTCGTGTCGGACTTGCGGACGCTTTTCTCAGCCCACCAAGAGAAGAACTGCCCCCCCCGATCCCTCCCCATTCCCGCCCGGCTGGAACACGACCCGCTCCGTGCTGCCAGAGGCGACCCTGCGCTCACAGCCCTTCATGTCATGTTAATACAGTTTATTTTCTCCTGTTGCCGTAGCAGACATTCTCTGACTCGGCCCCACGCCCTGAGCCACGCTGATGCTCTTATTTTTTTCAGGGGCTGCAGGAGTCTCGCTCGCTAAACCTCGGCCAGGCAGTTCTCGGCTCTTTGCTTTATCTCTGGCTTAGGTTTGACTGCGGCTCAGCACCCCCCCCCCCCCCCCGGGGCCAGGCTGCGCGGTGGCACTTGGGCCGTTTGTGCCCGGGGAAGCAGCTCCAGGTCCACCAGTCAGTTCCCACGGGGTTCTGTGGCGTGGGGGGGGGTGCGTGGGCAGAGCCGAGGAGTGGGGCGGCTGCCTGGGGGGGGGGATGACACCCCCAGGGAGGGATGGGGGGTGGCAGCGTGTTGGGGTGACGGTCACAGGCCCGACTGTGGGGCTGGGCCTCAGGGGAGCGTTCTCCCTCAGCGCTCCCGGGTGGCAGAACCTCCCCCCCCCAACTTCCACACCCCCCGCAGCAGGGCCTCCGTCAGCGCGGCAGGACGATGCCACTAACCCAAGGGGCTGCCAGGCCCACATGTCACACACACCCCACAAACCCCCCCCCCCAGCCTCCCGCCGCCGTCACAACCATGTTCCCCACCCGTGTAATATATGACTGGATTTTACAGCGTCACCTCCAGGCTTCTGTGACAGTTTCGGGCGACCGTGTACCTTGTGGGTCTTTGAAGCGACGTTATTCGTGCGATTTCTCTGTCGATGTGCCTCGGAGCGGGGGGATTTTTAAAAGGAACCAGCAAACCCAGCCGGGGTTTGACCTGTGAGTTGGTGAAGTGTCGTTCCCGGTCCGGTCCATCCCGTTCAGTCGGTTTATTTACAGGCACTGAGATGAACCCTTGGCCCCAGCAGAAGGGAGGGGGGAGCCCCCCCCTTGCCCGGAGGGTTTGTATGGTCCTCCTTTCCTGTGCATCCTCTGCTGCATTTGACTGTTTACATTTGTTTTATTGTACATAGGTTTGTAAACATAATATCTTTGCCTAAGATCTTTGTACATAACTTGGGCTTTGTAGCTTTATTTATTCAAAATCTATATGGCATGTTTCAATAGGACAGTGTACCATACCACGGTGGTGACACAGATCATGATGTGGTTTAAAAAAAAAAAAAAAAAAAAGATCAAAGGAGTCTACTCTTCCAAAAATAAAGTTCTTTTAATGTGGAATCAGTGGATTTTGCAGAAACGGTGGCAGTGGCTGTATTTTGTCATGTAGTGTTTTCTGCCAAGCCCCAGCACTGCAGCTCCTGCTCCCCCCCAGCCTCGGGCTGGGCTGGTGTAAGTGTTGGAGGGCTCCAGCTGCAGCTGCAGGGGGGGTTTTGCCCCCCCCCTGCCCCGAGCAAAGCCATTTCCCCTGCAGCACAGGGGGGCTGTGCCAGCTCCTGGCTTGGCTGTGCCAGGTCAGGCTGCTCCTGCCCCCCCCCCCCCCAATCCCCCTGGCAGGGGTGGCCACGCACCCCTCGGGCCACCTCGGGGGGGTGCAGGGCACCCTTGCTGCAGCATCCTCCCCCCTTAAAATTCCCCAGGTAGGCGCAGGCTGCTCTTGCACAGGGGACAGAGGGAGGGAAAAGCCAGGGAGGGGCTGGGGCAGAAGGTGCTGCTGGCAGGGTCAGAGCAGCTCCCAGGCCAGCAGAGACCAGGCTGGGGCTTTCAGCTCCCACCCCCCCCTTCTCCCCTTTTTAATGCCCCCGACCTCCCCCCCCCAGCTGCACCTTGGTCCCTGGTTTCTGTGCAGACACAGCAAGGCCCCTGGCCCCCAGCAGCCCAGCCAAACCGGGAGCACTCCCAGCCAGGTACAGCCCAGGCACGGGAACCAGCTCTGCTCAGAAAAAACCCCAGAGCCTGGGGCTGGGCCATGGTACTGGAGCCAAAGGCTCAGCCCAGCCCAGGCCCTGGCTGGTGCTCAAAATAAAAGGAAAAAAATCCAAGCAAACAAAACAGGAAGAAGGAGGGAAAAGGCAGCTTCCAGTCATATTCTCATTTATTAAGTTCTATGCCAGCCTCAGGAGATAGCTCTTCCGGTAAGTAAACAGAGCAGGCGGCCGCATCTATAATGAATAAATTTATTGTCTTACAAAAATCATTGTCTAGAAATATGGGTATACAAGAAAACAAGATATTTGCAGTCAGATGCCTGGTGGTCAACAGCCAGTTTGATTAAAAATATCCAAACACACACAACAAAACCTTTGCGACAGATGTTAAAGCTTTTAACCAAAAAAAGGAAATCCATGGTTTTTGAGCATGTGGCAGAGGAAGTTTCCTAGTTAACACTGATTCATTGTCACTAATATCAAGAATACCACTTGGACTAGAGAGGTACATGATATGAAGCACAGTCAAAATTAATACATTAAATCATTGTTATATAGGCAAATTATATATGTAACATTGTCTTAGTACTGTAGTGTCTAAGGCACTTTCTGTAATGTCAGTTTTTCAGCTATTTAAACAAAAAGAACGCTAACTACTCGCTGTAATACTGTTCAAAATAAAAAAAAAAAAAAAAACACAACAATAACAAAAAAAAAAAAAAAAAAAAAAAGGATTCACATCCACTGGCATGTTAACTCGTAGGCAGGCAACATCCACGGCTGCGCCCCGTCAGCGGCCCCCGCCCCCGCCCCGGGCTGGCTGCTGGCCCCTCACACCCCCCTCACCGCCCAGCCGCCCCGCCCCACGTCCTGAAGGCTAACTCGGCCATAAATTAATAAATTAATTTTGCCTGTGTTGTATGTTTATTTTCCACTGGTGTTCACATTATACGAGCCTTAATATATATACAGGTCTGTTGGGCATGGCAATAGCAGGTCTCTACAAACGCAGAAGTACTGTACAGATGAGGAACGGTGACGCTATTTCAGTTTGCCTGTACTGCATGAACACTAACTGATGAAAGCAGGTGCTGAGAACACTTCAAAATGATATTGCGGGTTAAAAACGGACACTACTCGTTCATCCCTACATTTCCCTCTAACACTTCCCAAGGCCTTTTCACAGTTCACTCGCTGATTGTGTGCTGATCACAACAATTAGGAGAAAAGAAAGAGACAGGTGCAGTTTGGTCTTCAAGGATCCAACAGACTCAACACAGCCAAGGGCCGTCTGAGCACAGAAGAAATGGAAGGATGCTGTCTGTACAACAAAGCATGCATAGTCATGACAATGGGTCTGTCCCAACCACCTAACCCTCTGGGAATGAAGTTTCTGGATTGATAAAAAAAAGTTTCATCCTTCACATGATGCTTTATAAAATGGCTTTACAATGAGTATCTGGAAAATAGATGCACTGGACAGAGACGATCCCATTTTGTTTACTATATATAAAAAAAGCAGTTGTACCTATATCTGAAGCGGGGTACAGTATGGTGAGGCTGGAGAGCCTTAAGACATAGTTGACCTAGGATAAGTAACCTTGTAGCATGCCGACGCTCCGTAAGGCAGATGTAGGGCCACAAGGCAGTTGGGTGGTCAGGGAAGGCCTCGTCCTCCTGCCGACCCCCGTGTAAAGGTCTCTGCATGCAAACGGTGTGACGGGCTCTACTCGGCTGGGGCCGGCTGCGTTTCGTTCACATCGCTGCCTTTGCTCTCCGCGTCGTCGTCCGAGAGCTCCAGGGAGGCCCCTTCAATGTGCAGCTGACGTCTCCCGGATCGACTGGAGGAGAAGGTGATGGGCCCCCCCCCTCCTGCGAACAAAGCAGCGGGCAGCAATCGCTGCCGGGTCACAGCTCCTGGGAGGCGGCTCAGCCCCAGGCTGCCCACCCTGCCCGGGAACGGCGCCCCCCCCGCTCTGAGCAAGGGGCCAACACGCTGTGCTCAAACACGCTCTGGTACTCTGGCATTCCTGCTTAGTTTAGACCATCGCCTTCATTTTTAACAAGTCCCAAGTAGCTTCAAATATTGTCTGTGTACGAGCACCAAGCACGGACCGAGCACTGAGCGGAGTGGGCTCTCTGAAAAAACCACCGACTGCTCCTTTGAGAAGCACCACGCTGCGCCCCTCCTGCCATTCCTACAAGTAACCAGCTCAGCCACTCTCCACCTCGAGATGGTTTCTGCTCTGCAGCAGCCCCACCGCTGCCGACTCCCATCTGTACTTGACACAGACTTTGATCTCCGAGGCCTGCTCTCCAGGAAAATGCTGATAACCCTCCCAGCAGGGTGGGTCAGGAAAAGAGGGACCGGTGCCAGCCCCTGGAAGAGCACAGCTGAGCTGTCTCCTCTGTCACGTTCACCCACGGCTGGACTGAACTGGCCACCCCAGGGAACCTGCCAGGTTAAGCTCCAAAGAGCTCAGACTCAAGAGCTGTCAGGACTATCCCAGTGCTCTGCCAGCTTCGGCATCGTCACCGGTCTCAGCCAGCAGCTCCCAGCAGGCTCCAGTTTGACCCCCTCCCTCGCATTAGCCGCTCTGCTGCCGCAGCTCCACAGCTGGCTGCTCCCCCAAGGACGCACCATGGCAACAGTCAGTGGGCACGCTGGGCCTGGGAAACCCCTGCCCACTGCTCCTGGGGCCACTTACCTTAGCCTGTTTTTCAGGGTGCTGACCTCCCGGCTCAGGCCCTCGTTAGCCTCTGTGGCATCATCCAGCTCACGCTGAAGTTTACGTCGGGAAGCGTTTGCACGCGTGGCCTCCTCTTCAGCCTCCTCCAGCTGACGTTTGAGCTGCTTCATTCTGGCATTTGCCTTTTCCATCTAAAATACAAAACCTCAGGATTAAACTAGGCAGCTGCAACCCCAGGACTGGGGGTCAGCTAGCACCCGGCCCTCCTGACCAGCCCGGCTGGAGAGGAACAGTCAGCCCCACTGCAGCCTCCAGCCTCGACTCCCAGAAGCGCTGCAGAGCTGCTGGGTCTGGGAGAGCAGGAGGCCTGACAGAGCATCACACCACAGCTACCACCGGGACATTCTGACTGACAGTAACTACTCCGCTGGTTTTGTCATCAACATTGATTCCCATAGATATTTTTATTAAAATGCTTCTTAACAAGCCCCTT